TGTTACCCGTTGTAGGTATGATAGTTCGTGTCATGCTCCTTTTTCTTATTTGCCCATTTTGGCTGGGTATAGTTATATCGAAACTGTGCTGCTAAATCCGTCGTAGTTTGCGACGGATCGTCTTCTAGAACAGCTTATAAGGTGAATGGAGCCATGCCACGTTTAATTTGCAGCGCGCTATCGGGTACCAAAAACGCATAGTACGTTCTTTAGTTGTATTTGCTCCATACACGTCGTTAATGTTTCGAGTCATTTGCACTACACCAGTGCTACGTTATTACAGTATTTTAGCAATATCCGTGTTTCGTTTCAAAATAAATTCAAAATGAACTAAGAAGAATGCAAAAAAATAACGCCGAAGTTTAAAAATTAGCAGCCTTACATTTTATGTAAAATAAATTTTATATCTGAATGTTACATTAAAAAATCTTTATTTCATTTCAGAATATCCGGAACTTTAGAACGGCCATTTCATAATTAAACCCCTATTATATACTAATGAATAAAGCTAGGATTACTCGCAACGATCCCAATTTTGTTAACGATCCGATCCATAGCACGTGTAGTTACTGTACAAATTACAAAAGGGGCAGAAATTGTCTGTAAAACTTACGTAGATCAATGTATTAAATATTATTAGTAGTCACGTAGAATATTTTCTAGGTGCACTATTTTATTTTATATTATTTATAATTTAACTCAAAGAGAAAATATCCAGAAGTGAAACAATGAAATTACACCAGAATTATGTTGAAGTACATGTAATCCCCTCACTGAGAAAATATTTTATTGTATATTCTCCAGTCGCGCTCAACTCGCGTTGCCGCCGCGCGGCGACCGCGTGCGTCTAACTGTCGTGGTGAAATACGCTCTATTTATTTAGCTTTTACGTTTTGGCGAGTCTGGCTTGAATTTGGTCTACGCGGCGGCGACCGCGTGGCGACCGCGCGGTTATATTATCCAGAGGAATTTAAATGTTGTTGTCTAGAAAATAGAAATCATGTACATGAAGGCATGGTAACTGGACAGCCGCCGCGTGGCGGCCGCGCGAAAACTTTTACCTCCTGTAATTAGGTGCTGAAAAGACATAACTGGTTGTGCAGAGGGGGGTGCTGGTTCCCACATTTATAAGGCAGTGGATGTTGGATTTGGCAGAAGAAGCACAAAAGTAGAATTAATTCAGTAAAAATGAGAGTTTTGGAAAATATAGCTGGAGTGACACTAATGGATAATAACAATATATAATAAGGCATACACACCCATAGCCCCGCACTAGGGAAACCCTGTATCGCGGGTGCCATGGACACACACAGAGGCAACCACAAATTGAGTGTAACTCACGAGAGAGAAATAAATGTAAGCCATACAAATATTTCTCCCGACCCGCGAATCGATTCTGGGACCTCTACGTGGCAGTCCAGCATGGTGAACGTTCGGCCACTGTGGCAGTCATGGACAAATTACTTACTCGTGTGATACGAGAGCGTTGCGGCGTGCAAGAAGATGTAGTGACAAAGATAGAGAAAGGATTAAGATGGTTTGGACGTATAGAAAGAATGACTGAAAGAAGATTGACGAAATCAAGGCGATTGTGAGCGGGCAAGTTGGTAACGATCGAACTTAAATTGAGGAAGTCCAAATCCAGAGTACGCTTAATCGACGAGCATATATGATGCTTTCATACGTGATGAGTGTTGTTTAGGCGAGAGATGTATGTCTGGATCGTAGCAAGTGAAAGGCTGTCGTCTCTTCCTACCCCAGTGGGAACAGGGTGTGTATGTATTTATACTTACTAATTTTGTATCTAATTTACGTAATATTCTTCACTTATGACTGATATTTGTAACTTTATTGGTTGTAGGTATTAAAAATTACTATAATTTTATGTTATCTGCACATTTATCATAATATATTTCTCACTGGTTTTAAAATTAAAATATCCCTGGATTTAAAACTGACAAAAACTATAAACAAGCGTAACTAGAATAAAGTATGGAATAACAGTCATAAACCACATAATATCAAGGGACATTTATTTTATTTACAGATATTATTAATCAATCGTTAGATATCCTATAAAATTCTTAGGTAAAGTATAAAACAAATAAAAAAATTCAACATTTCGTACAATGCCCGAAGCTATTATCATATAGGTATAATATTTTTTTTTATCCGGTGCCCTTATATCACTTGACAAAAAATTGGAATGGAGTGAATTTATAGAATAAACAACAAATAATATGTGGTTTGCCCTATTAGTAGAACCACGAGGGCAATGATATTATACTACGAGGGTGACTAATTTGTCGTGTTCCGCTTGCGTCCTGTATATATTTAAGACGGAATAAAATGACATTTGCTAGGTTTCCAGTTTCCATACAATTTTAAATAGTCATGTACCTAGTTGTTGTCGACAGTTTTATCGATTGAATATGAAAGTAGGTAAAATTTTGCCAAAAATGTCTGAATTGTGAAATGTTGTACTCATTATACTTATTTTGGCAGTTGGCCTATTAGTATCGAAATTAATTTTTATTCATATACATTTTAATAACGACAGGCGGAAGTGATTATGTATTTTAAATTAAAATTAAGAACATTGAAATATGTCTCCTATTTCTATTAATAATCCACGTAGTTCTAAGTGTAGTGAATGTATGAATTTTCAAAAATTGACAATTCAATTGAACCTGTGCCCAGCATAACGAACCGATGATGAATCAAATGAAACAAGTTCGACTATTTATTGCATAAGCGTAATCAACATTCAGTCGATAGTCGATGTAATATTAATCGACAGCAATCACTAGCTGTTTGCAAGCGAGCTACACTTTTGCACAATTAACTGTTATTTTACTCCATCTTCAAAAAAAAGGACAGACTATAATAATAATGTGCTACTGCCTAAGCTCACTTACCTAAATCTATTTAAAACCATTAAAACTTCCTCATTTATGGGGTATGTTGAGTGTGTACGTTGTTATTATTATTATTGTTATTTGTGATATTGTTGCGATAAAGATTATCTATACAAACTTGTCAGAAATCTATTAAAATTTACATTGACTTACAAATAAATGGACGATGGTTCTAATACAAAAACCACGAAAAAAATGTCCCAAGTCAACCTATTTAAACGTAGTGACATGTAAAGGAATATGAAAAAGCTAAAACGTTAAATTTAAATTGTAATGTCATCGCAGTACTGTCTAATTTTGCTTGCTTCGCTGTCAGTCGAACAAATGAAGACTAAAGCGTGCATGACGCTCTGTATACGATTTTAACGCCCTATAAGTTCGAACACTTTTTAGCGCGGACCCGACGTCCGTATAATTGTAAGTCAATGAAGACTTAATTTTAATTACACTAAACTAAATTTCTTTAAATACTTCAAAACATCGCCGATACGTAACAGTTAGAGATTTTTAGGTTATGAAAACTTTAAACGATGGATATTTCGCTCTTCAGCTTGACCGTACCAGGTTTACCCATACCACTCGTAATTACTTTTGTTCATCCAATTAGTACTCCTTGTGCTAGGATGCGGGCTCCATTGTGATTTAAAGGGCATGCCCGGGAGTCCCCTAATATTAATAACATACCCTTTTAATAAAACTTTATTAAAGACATGAACTTATAATGAATATAAACTTATAAGCTCTGCACATGCGTCAGGAAATAATGAATACTTTAATTGCGCAAAAGAAAATAAAAATCTAAAGGCGTTACTTCACCGTTGCATTCGCTTGTAATGTAACAGTTCAAAAGCGAGCATTACTGCAGTAAGAGAGGAGAACCGAGCATTAATTGCGCAACACTTGTGACATTCGGTAGCCTCCTTCACCGGTGAGGCCTGTAATGTAACAATTTGTTCAGACTGTAAGGCTGCGTCTCCACAAGACATAGTGAAAATGTTTTTAAGTCTTTACTTAGGTGCCTGCAAGTGCCCGCGAGTGCCTTTGAGTTCCCGCGAGAGCCCGCGAGTGCCTTTGAATGTGTTTGATTGCCTTTGAGTGCCAGCGAGTGATAGCGAGTGTCAGCGAGTGCCTTTGAGTGCCTGAAATTGCAGCCAAATCGAATCTTGAATGTTACATTACAGGCGAATGCTCGCCGGTGAAGGAGGTATTTGTAATGTAACGCTCAAAAACAAATCTTAAATTATACATTACAGGCGAATGCTCGCCGGTGAGGGAGGTATTTGTAATGTAATGCTCGAAAACGAATCTTGAATGTTGCATTACAAGGGAATGTTCGCCGGTGAGGGAGGTATTTGTAATGTAATGCTCAAAGACGAATCTTAAATTATACATTACAGGCGAATGCTCCCCGGTGAGAGAGGTATCTGTAATGTAATGCTCAAAATTGAATCTTAAATTTTCCATTACAGGCAAATGCTCGCCGGTGAGGGAGGTATTTGTAATGTAATGCTCAAAAACGAATCTTGAATTTTACATTACAGGCGAATGCTCGCCGGTGAGGGAGGTGTCTGTAATGTAATGCTCAAAATCGAATCTTATTTTTTTTCAATACAGGCGAATGCTCGCCGGTGAGGGAGGTATTTGTAATGTAATGCTCAAAAACGAATCTTGAATTTTACATTACAGGCGAATGCTCGCCGGTGAAGGAGGTATTTGTAATGTAATGCTCAAAAACGAATCTTGAATTTTACATTACAGGCGAATGCCCGCCGGTGAGGGAGGTATTTGTAATGTAATGCTCTAAAACGGATCTTCACTGGTACGTTACTGGTGAATATTCGCGGTGAGGGAGTGGCCTAATATTTAATTAAATACTTAGCTTATAATTATTAAAATATAATTATAAAAATATAGCTTTGCGGGTTAAAGCATAAATCTTTCTTCACCTAATACAATCAATTATAGAAGCATTAAAAGGTATGCTGATATCATTATATTTTTTATAGAAGGTATTACAAAGATAATATGTTTGCATTCCGCAAACGCCAGTACATTTTACCATAAAACAGAGAACATAATGTGTCAGTTGTATGGTTGAGGTAACTGCATTATACTTGACGTCCTATATTTTCCTGCTCTCCCAGCTTCGAATATGGATGTAATTGACAAGTCTTCTGCATCTGCCTCGGCTACATCTTTTCGCATAAGTGGCATATGATTGCAGTCAAACTTATCCTAAAATATTACATTAAAATTTTAAATCTCATTCTGGTTGCAGCATCACATCAAGGTATATTATTTAATTGTTGTGCCATCGGGTTTCCATATTGATGGCCTCCATGGTCGATTGGCTAGCACACCAGTTTTCATGGTGTCGTCGTCTCTGAGGTCCCGAGTTTGATTCCCGGGTTTGATGACCGGGTCAATGTAGAACATTAACTTTTCTATATATTCTCGGGTCTGGATGTTCGTGGTACCGTCGTTGTTTCCGATTACCGTAACACAAGTGCATTAGTTACTTTCTTTGGGATCAGAGCAACGTTTGTGATGTTGTCCATATTTATTTATTTATATTATATGCTGATCGGACAAGCGAAAATAAAATAAATATTCAGTTAATGACTGAGATCCCTATACCAACTGAGAAAATAGCTGATGGTCTTTCAAAAGTTGAACACCAGATGTTCAAATATCAAATATAGCAAAAATGGTTATTTTTTTTATTCCAAATTTAAAATACGCCCCAGATGAGTCGATCTCTTTGGCAGCTATGATGCCACATACATAGTAGCAATAGAGCTCCTCGTGAAAGAGTGCGTCCAGGGAAGAACTGTCACCTTTATTGTTATTATTATTATATTAACTATTTCTGCCGCCAAGCAGTAGTGTCAGCATTACTGCGTTCCGGTTTTGAAGGTTTACGGTACTGGTGAACTTACAGGCACATGGGATGTCCCATGACATGTGTGAACTTATGTCTCAGGAAGGCAGGCGCAGTGTCAGTGCCTCTCAGTTTGCGATTTAAAACTCTGAGTGGCACTGAAACTTTTATGGACAGCATGTTGCTTACCAACACTGAGACAAACGCTCCAAATTTAACTCCCCTCTTTTTGAATCGTGGGTTATTAAGACATTTTGATAAAATCTGGTAGTCGTAAAGTTGTTTTTATACCTACATCTAACAGTATGCATGCATGTCTACATATCCTAAGGTTTACAGTTTCTTCGTATTTTTTTCTTTTTTTCCTCTCATCTGCGTCGGGTGGCCCATATTTAGGACTACTTCTAAATGCAGCAGATAAATTCTGTAAAAAGTACTATAGTGAGTGACTAGCTATATGACAATATGACCGAATTTTGTAGAGGGTTTATTATTGCAACAAATGAAAGTGCATTAAATACATAACGCAAAAGAGTAAAGTATTGCTACTTTAGGGTGCGTATAGATCTGGTGAATGCATCGCAAATGTACTTGTTTGGGAAGGACTTGCAAGCTGCACACGTGCATTACGTTGTGCGATCTGTTCGCGTGCCGTTCCCGTGTTGGTCGTGCGCCGCTCGTTCGCCACATTATATTAACTTGTATTTAACTACACGCGTGCACCGCGAGTGCAGTGCAGTGCAGCGCGCGCGCAGCATTCGCCTGATCTGTAGGTACCCTTAGAGAGGGCTGGCGCATATATGTACCAATAAGTAAAAATCAGATTTAGTTGGTATATTCTTCTATACACTAGTTTGTAGCTAGCTCAGAGGAATTTTAGTATTACGGCGTGGTCCACGCTGTGACAGGAAGCGTTTAGAACCAATGAATAGGGTCTGTTTGTTATGCTCCTGTTTTGTATGTATCCGATTTAAACATATTTTATTCTATTTTTGTCATATATAATATAGTATAGTATAGTTGAAAACTAAAATGCTTTTTTTTATTCAACAATGCATTTATACGTATGCCTAAACGATATGGTCTTGATTATTTTTTCCATTAGATAATTATTTCTTTTTTAAAACAGCTTTTTAAAGTAATTAGTGCAACAAATAATAAATATATGACCAAAATAAATTCTTAAATGTTATTTAATTTTTTTTTTCATAGCAGCGAATATTACAAAACTACTCCTTATTTCATTCTTTTAATAAAAGCACTTTCTTGTCTGCCAGTACATGTAATTAAAACCTGGTAAGTTCGGATAAAATTACATTTATCCTAACTAACCACAATCCGATGTATACAAAACAAGGGAATGAGAAACCGAGAGCATAACTAACGGAACCAATCAATACAGAGTAAATAACTACACACACTTACGTTGTCTATAATAAACTGGACTATTGTTTTTATTTGTATTATCGTTATGACGAGTAATGTTAAACAAAACCATGCGTAAGCTGGAATAGTTCTTATATTAAATGCCTCTTGGAATAACTCGGCTAATTTTAGGGCCAATACATACTGAAAAGAATAAATGAGTAATATTGATTGTGCGCTTTGGTTTCGCCGATGACGTCTTGTCACCCGACCAGCTCTTCTATTTCAGCGTTAGTGCGGACTCTCCAGCTACCGTTCTCCCGTTGGACTTGCCCTAATATTTCCTGAGAACCTTTCTCTCAGCCACCAGGAGCTTGTTCTCTTTTAAGTGTGAGTGTCCAAGCCTCACAACCGTATGTAAGAATGGGCCTTATAATTTCGCTGACTCGGCCATTTAGAAAGGATGGGAGAGGATCGGACCATGATGAGTGCCTATCTGGGTCGACCTACTGGATGAAGATCGGCTAGTAATCACAGGTATCGCCGTGAGGCGACGCCGTGGAGGCGTACCTGCGCGAATTACAAGCCATCAATTGACGAGAAATTGCAAAGGACCGAAGAAAGTGGCATCACCTCGTTTAGGAGGTCGGGACACATTTCGGATCGCTGAGCTAGCGGAGTAAGTGAGTAATATTGACTGTAAAGAACATTATGATGATATTCGCTACTTTTATGTGAAATTACCCCACTAGTTTGTCATAATTATTAATACAAACATCGAACACAAAGAAAAACTCCTTCGATCTTTATACCTTTACAGCTACCAGGGATCCAGTCTGCTAATTTTAAATCATCGCATTTGTGTATTGACAGTGTGTCAATGGAAAAACATTTGTAGCTATGGTATTCTGCACAGACCACATAGTATTCGGCATTAAGAGTAGTGATTTTTGGTAGTGGCCATTGCAATTTTTTGATATTCTGCTCTTCAATGGCGACTCGATGGCACGTCAATCGCGTAGGGTATTAATAATATATATATATTTAATTTGAAGACTAAATTAGTGATTAAACGAGATAAAAATTAAGAAATGCATAAGAACTTCTATGGTACCTTTAGTAAGATAACATCGATCGTTGCTGATTGAATGAATGAATGCCGCCAATGCCATTCCTTTGGCATTCTATTGAGACTCGACTGCCTTTGCAATTAGATTTTAGCAGAACAGCAAATATTTATATAATTGCAATATAATCTCAAAGCAGTCTTAATTAGCGATGCGTGACTTTGAATGTTACTAATACTAATCATTCGAATGGACAAATCGTTCGCCGAATCAAATCATGCAGAATCATTCGACTCGAGTCGAATGATTACCGATACCGAATGCCCCTGCCATTCTATTCCATTGCCATTTACCATGTCCATATCAAAATAACCCTTTTTCCGTCACATTTAGGGTGCATTTATTCGACAAGAATTTCATCACCAGCGTAGTTTGCGTTGCTGCATAAATGCGCGTTCAGTGCACGCTTACGACCCTGCCTTGAATTTGGCCTACGCGGCGGCCGCGCGGTTTTATTATTCAGAGGTAAAAATTGTTGCCTAGTAAATAGAATTCAGATTCGCCAATAATGTACATGAAGGCGTGGTAACTGAGCGGACGCCGCGCGGCGGCCGCGCCAAATCTTTCGCCTCGCGTAACTGGACGCTTACGGTATATAAAATTGAGCCAGAGAGATCTCGGTGATCACGAGTGTCGTTGTACTTTATGGAATCTATGGATTATTAATGGATGATCATTCAGATCTGATGTTCAGATCATTCGAATACGAAAACTAGTAAGTTACTAATTTGTCATTCGAATGACAGGATTAATTAAGGATTAGACACCAACAAGTGGAATATGGAAATCATTCGCAATCGCGCAAGGCTAGTCTCAATGGAATTAACAGCCTCCGTGGCCGAAAGGTTACCATGCCGGACTGCCACGCAGAGGTCCCAGGTTCAATTCCCGGGCCGGGAGAAATATTTGTATGGCCTACATTTATTTCTCTCATGAGTTTGGGTGTAATTTGTGGTTGTCTATGTGTGTGTCCATGGCACCTAGACACATGGTTCTCCCTATAGCAGGGCTATGTTGAGTGTGTGCGTTATTATTATTATTATTAATGACCGGTGGTTTCAAGAATATTAGCAGAATCAAGCCCCTGAGGTATGGCACAGACGCAGGTTCGAGCCCTTCCAGATCGAAGGCATTCTTCTTTGTGTTCGATCTTTGTAATTAGTAAGATAAATGAGATTTAAAATGTATACCTACGTATTGTTTCAATATTATTTTATCAGTACATATGTAAGTGCCACTGAACAGTTGTCCTAATCTTGCACTTCACATTGTGGCTGAAAAAATACGTAATAATATACGTAGACTTAGTATACCCTATCTTTCAAAGTGTCATCAAACTTACTATAAGAATTATGGGCATTAGCATCCAACATGCTCTCCAATACTTTGTAGGTTTAAAATTTAACCAAAACTGAATGTCTGTACAAAATTTTTTCATTCCGTACATGTACATGATTATTGCCACTCGAATTGCTCCCAAATAGACCATTGTAATATTTAAGCCATTTATAAATCCACCCCAATAACTCACACCCTGCAAATAAATTCAAGTCAACAAAGCTCAACCAAAACAACACACACAACTACAACTCCTCTTTCTACATTTTTTTTACCAAAACCTAATTACAAACATCATTGACGTTTTATTATTGATTTTCAGCATAACTCCTGAGGGAAATAAAACATACATTATTTCATCATAATTTCAGCAGAAAGACGTGCACTGGCCTCCCCCTAAGAACGCCACAGCGAGCTGTCCCTGCGACCTTCATCAGGTCATCAGTCCTCCTTGTGGGTGGTCTGGCCTCATCGGCCATCTGTTCTACGAGCAATGTCCAGTTCCACTTAAGTTTTGCAATTTTTTGGGGCACGTCGGTTAATCTGGTTCCCTTGCAGATATCCTCGTTACTGATTCGATAACCTTCTTATGAGGCCGATAGTGAGCGACCACGTCTCAGTGTCGTAAGTCATCACAGACAACACACACTGCTCGAAGACTTTTGTCTTAAGGCACTGTGGTATGTTGGACAAGAAGATATGACGTAACTTCTCGAGTACGTTACTTATTCACTAATAAGCTTAATACTTACTTACCAGAGCTACAGGTATGGATAGTCCACATCCGATAAAGCTTATTATGCCAACTATGTACAAGTTTTTAATTGCTTTGAACTCACTGTGTAACATTTTTGACATGGTTAGCGTAAAGGCTGCCTGTAATTAATAATACATAGATGCAATTGTGGGTGCCATTAAATAACAAACCGCGGACTGCATAGATAGACTGCAAGTGAAACTTATATTGTTTGAACAATAATAGTCGACATTAAATAAAAGACGACAACGTCGCTATTTCAAACCAATTTAACTCGATTTTGTAGAAATTAGTGCCGTCGCAGCATGGCTTGAAATAACTTTAGATTTATGTTAATAAATTATAAAAGAATGTCAGTTTGACAGTATCTAAACGAGTTCGACGAAATTTGCCTTGAATTCGAATTCGATAGCATACAGGATTTTATTTGTAATTATTATTATACATAATATTTTATCTTTTATACAAATTTCTCGAAATATAATATATTACTAGTACGAGAGGTGCATGCAAAAATTCTTTGTCACTTGGTATCTCGATAAAAAGCACAGAGGATATTCAGAAAAACTCTGTCAAGCATAGATCACTTTGAGAGTGTTTTTCCTAACATTTGGTGTTTGTGGTCACTTTTGTGGTCTTATTTATTGTCGAGATGGTCTGTTCATTATCATCAACCCGTACAAATACCGCTAAGCATGTCTTTTAAAAAAAGAAGGTTTATGCTGTAGCCGTTAGTAAATTGCCGCAGCTAGGTCCCGCGATGCAGCGATACATTAAAACGAGCACTGCAACACAAACTTTACCTTGTAAAAGATAAGGTAACATTTCTTTAAACAAAACAAATTATATAGAAGCTCAGCAAGCGGCGGCTGGCGGCGTGCACGCAATATAATATAGTACATATTCTCTACCATATAAAGTATACATTTCTTCTAACAAAAAAGTAAAGGCGCATCCTATCGTCGACATCTTGTACTACCACAGGCAATGCAAAGTGCAACTTAGTTTCTCAGCAATAAGGTATGATTCTTAGAAAGATAAACAGCTGCTGACCGACGTCAAGCTGAAGCTTGAACATAGCGCGAACTTTGGAAATGGAATGCTACATAGGACTTCATTTCTACTAAATAAAGTGAGTTACCCTTGTGTGAGTGACCCTTACTTATATTAACTGCCTCTGTAGTCGAACGGTTATCTTGCCGGAATACCGCGCTGAAGTCCCAGGTTCGATTCCCGCGCTGGGAGAAATATTTTTATAGTCTACATTTATTTCTCTCGTGAGTTTGGGTGTAATTTGTGGTTGTCTATGTATGTGTCCATGGCACCCGCGACACAGGGTTTCTGTAGTGCGGGGCTATGTTGAGTATGTGCGTTATGTGTACGTTATATGAACTACTTTCGATATACTAGTTCTGTTCGTGTCCAACACATAGGAATTTAAAAATAATATGTCAGCTATACTGCTTAATTTTAATTTCTTACGTTTTCAAGTTTCCAGTAAAAAATCCCAAGGTACACAACCTTAGAAAAGTACAAACACCTTCCATCCAAGATTCATGCTAGCATCACCTATTTGAACATCCTCTGCATTGCTCACCCAGACTTCCTACCTCTACAGTAATCAAACATGTTTATGTTTCCTGTTAATGAAAATTAACTACAATTTATTGAATGTGTGACATCCACATTTAAGAAAGAAGGATGGCGACATCCCATGTATTTTGTGACCCAGTGTTTTTGACGATGTGCATTAAGGAGACCTATCAATACTTGTGATCATTATCAAAGCATCAAAAAAGCTAATTCAGTTCAGACTGTAGAAGCTGGAGTTATAAAGGTGATATGGGTTATGTTAATAACATTGTCCTGTATTTCGCTCCAGATGTCTGTTTGTAGTAGCAGAAAACAACAGTTTCCAGTTTGTTCCCAAAAACAATATAAAGAACTTCCCAAATCTGCCAAACTCAGCTACATTTAATATAACTTATCATGTTCTGCATAATGAAAATGAATAAAAATAAAATCTGCTCAAATGACAGAAATCAACCTTAAACGGTCACACTGTTTTCAATATCAATGTGACATTGACATTGGCAAGAGGTCTCTTGTCAAAACGTTCCTTTGCAACTTTCATTATCTTTCATTTATATATTGTCTAAATATTTTTGTCACATTGTGTTCTATTTTTTGCTTTATGTCATTGCTGTTTAGTTGATTATTTCATTACGTATTTTATAACTTTAATATTTTATGTACTATAAAATAACCAATCCATGAACGGCTCTTCGTCGTTATTGGGGCAGCTTTCGCAATCCTGCTTTACACATAAACACAACAACGAGGGATATCATACACAGTCGTAGGAGAAATATTCGATAATTTCCATTATGCACCGCATTTTTAGTTTTATTTATTTGTTATTTGATGCTCGATTTATATATAATTTATAAAATCATTTTTTGGTCAGAGCGAATAAAGTTCCTTAATTATTTATTATCCTGCAGTCGACTCTCGTACTAAGCACATAAAATACAGTACGTACAGTAAATGTCATTAATCAGTATGATGGTTACAGCAAATAATAAGTTATAATATGCATAATATACTCACGATATGACCACAAAGTGTCAACATCATATTTGAATACAAATAGAGAGAGAAAACTTTTGAAGCTTTCAACTGATCAGCTGCTAAAGGCAGTAGCACGAATATAAGATAGTGGTAATCTTCGGTATTGTTTTCTCCTTTTTGGATATTGATATCAACACATTTTCTGAGATTTAAGTATAGAATCCTCGTTACTAATGACCTCAAAAGGGAAACAAATGTATACGAGATGGTAAATATTAAAATTGCATTATCAACACATGTATACGGAGATAATGTGCCAAAATCATACAGTCCCACGACTCCAATACCGTAAGCATATGAAACTTGCAAAAATGTCTCAGTCTGAAACAAGTCATACTTATACATATATTGTAAATAGTAGCAATTTGATTTTTGAGCATGGTAAAGCGCCTTTATGTAGGCAAAATGTTGCACTAACTCTGGTGTATAAAAGTAAAATTGGTCAATATCTCAGTCACTAATATAAGTTTAGTGGAGGTCGGGAGAATTGAAAATGTATATACAAGTCCTTCAAGATGCCTACAAACCCACTGAAATTTTAATATTGGGCTTGTAGAAAGACGCGCCAAATACGGTTACGTTGCTAGTTCGGATCTTTCCATTCTCCTCTTTCTATTCCACATTTTGTATATATAAATGTTGATACCCATTTGAAATGTTGTTAATAATAAACATACATAACAGGTATGTTTTAAAATAATGTTAATATGTTTTACTTACTACAGACACTTTAGCAGCCACATTCATTAAATCACCGAGAGCTATTGAAATGAATTCGGGTAAAGCGAAAAGAATGAAAATCGTAGAAAAAATTGTTGTCAAAGTTCTTAATATATACATTAACTTGAAAAGCTGAAAAAAAGTAGAGTTCGTTATTTAAACAATCAAATCTGTGTTCAAATGTATTAAACAAGTTTATACTGGCTGTTTAGGTGACAAATAGTGACAAATAGTCAAATTATCTGGCGTTCTACGCAATACATTTCAAATAGGCCACAAAGTAAGTGAATGTATCTTCATAGTTAGACTTTAGAGATGTGTCAATTCACAGTCGAAACGTCAAGTGACAAACTTAAAGTACTATGATAAATAAACAATTAATACGATAATATAACTCACTCTTATTAAAGCTAGGTCAGAAACTGATGAAAAAAAGAAATTAATAATCCACACCATGGCTATTAAAAAAAATTTTGTTGTAAGTGCGGATCTTTCTTGAGTATGAAAAATGCTCCTGAAAACATATATTTTCATGAAAATCATTATACACTAAATAAATATACTGATTAGGGACACTAGCATGTTACTGACTGTAATTTGTACTTTGAAACTTTAATATCATGATCAGCATCTAAAATGTTGACAGTAATTTAGTTACATTTTAAATTAGTGAATTTCTAAATCGATACATCTGCGTCACAGATTACACTTATGTTAATTACGAGTTCATTCTTAAAACGTCATTCATAATCATGTCAGTCATGAATGAATGAAGGACGCAAGATCGTTGCCTATTTACGCAAACTTATTTCGAACCCTTTTAAGTTTGCAACTAGGTTGGTTGATCCATGTCTGCTAACCTTGGTTTTGAGGTGTTGTTTTGGCTATAATTTATTTAAGAGAATGTTTTACTACCATAATACTCAATTATTTTTGTGAAATTACTCCACTACAGTGTTATAATTATTAATACAAAGAAAAATTCGTTCGATTGGGCTAGACTCGAACCAGGGACCTCTCCATAACGTGGCTGCGTGGGCGCCATATATTTTACAAACGTTATTAATTATTATTAAAATTAATTATTAAAGGTTATTAATACACTATCTAGGTATTAGATATTTCTTACATTTTAATTTTTTTGGTCTCAGGTTAACAGAGAAATTATGTACTTTTTTTTATATAACATCAAGTGACGGGACGAACAAGTCGTGCGCCTGACGTAGCAGTGCCCCTCAGATCTTTGCGATTTAAAGCTGTGTGTGGCACTGCAACCGTTATGGACAGGCGTGTCTCTTATCACCAGGCATGCGACTTGGTCGTCCCGTCACTTATCATCATAATAAGCATTATTATTATTATTGTTACATCTTTCGGAATATTATTCGTAAGTACATTTTTTTTTCGTAGAATTGTGATTTAACAAGTTTTGTGACTGATTGCTAATTATGATTACTTCTCGGTTATTCTATGTCCATTTTCCAGTAACTCATTTTAACGCAGCTTAATTAGTAATACAATTAGCCTTAGTTCTCTACAATTTCATTTGTTTTTCGGCACTTATTATTTTCCTAAATCAGTATACTTTACAGGATAACAAAGATTTTATTAGGTAATAAAAATAAAAAATCCACGTGGCCCCTTCAGGGAGGACAACTGGTAGGGACTAGTGGAATAGACCATCATAAATGCGATCACTAGCTAAACTACGTCTGAGTAACTACATGCTTTGTGATACCCTCTACTTTATCATAGACAAGAGTTACTTACTCGTAATAATGATGCGCAGATGTAAGATTCAGACTTATCTGCTTTTGTTTATTGCCGCTGGTCGCTGCAAGTTTACATTGCAATATGATATCTTTAGTAGCTTTACACTTTTTCATTTTCGGATCACATATTGACCACGGTGGTATGAATTTTAAAGAATTGAAAAAATAACTAACTGCGTCCGCTAGATCGTTTGCGTGCTGTAAATTATTAAAAAAAATATACAGTTAACAGCTGAATAGTTAAAAAGCAAGTTATTTGTATAATTGTATAACATAATACATAAAATAATTTTGGACAAACATACTTTTAAATTACATGAAACTTTACAGCACACATACCTACTCGTATAAAGCAACAAAAATATGACAAACTCAACTTGCATACTATATTACATACAATTTTCATCGGTTTTAACATTACACAAAAGTCTTATTATTTTATCGGCTGCCGATATCGTTAGGGCCATTATACACAGTCAAGGTTTACCGCGAATAAACTTCCGCGGGGCCTGTACACGTTTGTATATGCATGCTTGTGTGCTGTATAATGGAAAATGGTACCCCTACTCACGGGCAAGGTGTACAATTATCTGCAAATACAAACGCGTGTTAGAGCGACGCCACACGATGCGTTGCGTCGGCGCTGCAACGTCTGAGCAATGACGCTGCGTCGTGGTGATAAAAGAGACTTACATGCCACATGGGCGCTGCCGGTACGATGTGACGTCGCAACGCGTGCGCATCGGACAAGGGGCCAAGAGATGAAGCGGGGAGAGGAGATGCTGTGCGAAAGTAACCGGCGGCGCGGCGTTACGTTGTGACACCGCACTGCTCGTGTGGCACTCGGTGCGTTGAAATCATAGCGTTTGGACGACGTAACACCCGTATGGCATCGCTCTGAAGCAACACGTACAAATACATGGTGTACGCAAGTTTACTCGCTGTGACGATTGACCGTGTAGCCGGTCCATTAGAGAAAGTTGCATGCACAGTTACAAATCACTGTCAATAAATGGTCATAATGAACGCTAATAAGTTATTTTTTTTACACTAAATTTCGACGTTCGTATAGCTCGTAGATGAAGTTCATTCACCAAAAGATGAAGTTAAAATTCTGACCGATACATGAATAAAAAGTGTGTATAAAGATAATTTTATACTTTGTATAGAAAACCTAATTTTCTAGTTTTATATAAAAAGTAATTAAAAAGGTAGTACGCTCTTGTATATTTTTGGAAACTTACGCGTATTGGCCGAAATTAAAAGCTATTCTATCGAAAAATGTACATGTACAAGTAAATATAATTCAAAAAAATCTATATACATTATAATTTTGTATTAAGGTTAACAATTAAAAGTGATCCTGGCAACAATTCCGCAAAATTGCTAAGGTTAATAAGTACCTTGTTAGCTATTACTTAATATATGAAGGTGAAAGTAATATATATACTACGCAAGTTTTACGTTACTTAATACTTACTATTAAAGTCCAAAATAAAGTTTGTAGCAATAGTCCATAAGCCACTCCTTTTAAGAGCGGGTTCAGATTTTTGTTGAGGTCAGCTTTTCCGGTATATAATTTTATGAAAGAATCCATAAACATATAACTAACACCTATCGTTAACTGAACCAACATAAAGAAAAATATTGTCACTGAAATATAAACGAATAATTTATACGCATGCCAACTGTGAGGAATACAAAAATGGAGCAGAATTTTTTTTATTCTATATATGTATATATATATTTTTTTTTAATTACCAAATGTGAACTGCGACAAAAAATCATTTTAAGTAACATTTAAATACACAGTCGCGTATCCTGTATCAAAGAGCGAAACTAATTGAAGACTGATTAAAATGTTATAAAGAGTCAGGGAGAATTAGAACTAACTGACAAACAGACTGTAAGCCCGCAATAGGAAATCATGATATTTTTTATATTTCTAACGCAAGGCCAAAAGGGACATAGAGATAGGCACAAGTAGGTAAATAATTTGCGGTCAAAATTCATTTTCCGCCATTTTTCAATATGGCTACCATATAAACTTTTTGGCGGCAGGTAGAAATTTGATATAATTCAGCTGAAAATCGGCATGTGGGAATCTTTATGCCTGTTTAATAATAATTTGCGGTTAAAATTTATTTTTAGTAATTTTTCAATATGGCTGCTATACAAACAATTTTTGGCGGTTGATAAAAATTTTCTCTAATTCTACTGAAAATCAGCAAGGGGGTTCTCTACGGGTGTTTAACAAAATGTGCAGTCAAAATTCACTTTTTACCATTTGCCAATATGGCCGCCATTAAAGATCTATGTTAATTTTTTAAAAGTCATAAGTGCCGAGGGCTCAGGCCGAGGTCTAGCGGAGGGCGAAGCCCGAAGCGTCCGCACGCCACCTTACGTAAGTAGTATACGGAGACTCTATTACGGGTACAAGATTTCATAATTATCCAAAAAGTAAGGCACACTTCCCGAAGCTCCAAAGCAAAGAATCAAATATGAAAGGACCTGAATATGGAAAATGTGAAAGAGTGATCAACAGCTTGCAAAAACTATAATATACGGAGGGAGTATTTGTACATTTTCAAGAGAGAACACCTTGGTCAATTTCCGCGGGAAGTAAATAATGTTCGAAATTCAAGTAAATAAGATGACCGCAATACAAATTTCAAAGCCCCCTATCACGGAAACTATTAGAGATAGTTAGAAGGTGCTCGAAGGAATATCATAGAGTGTAACACTGGTCAACTGCCTGGGTTAAAAAAAATTAAGATGGCGATTTAAAAATGGCGGCCAAAGAAATATTTGCTTCGATCCGGCAGAAAATTGGCATGCAAGGGTCTTTAGGAGTCCTTAATCATAATTTGGGGTCAAAAGTTTATTTTCGCTATTTTTTAATATGGTTGCCATTTAAGTGTTTTTTTTTTTTCAATAAAAATAGCTGCCGAAAAAGTTTTGCTCTGAATCGGCTGAAAATTAGCATGTGGAGGCCTCTGAAAGTGCCGGATAATAGATTGTGCTCAAAATTAGTTTTTCGCCATTTTCAAATATGGCCGTCATAGAAGAGTTCGTTGGCGGCAGAAAAAAAATTGCTCAGGTCCCTTCGAAAATTAGCATATGGGGGTCTCTAGGAAACTTGATAACAATTTCTGATCAAAATTTACCGCCATTAAAGAGTTATTTCAATTTTTAAAAACAAAGTGATAAGTGCCGAGGCCGCAGGCTGAGGTCCGCGGAGGGCGAAGCCCGAAGCGTATGCACGCCATCGCGATGGTGATAATATACGGAGGCGTAATACATTACAAGTATAAGATCACACAATTGTAAAAATGTAAGGCATACTTCCCGATGTAGCGGAAATGAGATACTTATTACAGCGTTGTTGTATCTCGATCGTCTCTCTGTTAGATTCCATTTTCTTGAAAGCTATGCCAAAGAGAAGTATTTAGGGGGAAAAAAATGCCAAACTGCTGCAGAATTTCCTGTACTATGAATATCGAAACAACGATAACCCAGAATACTCAGACCAAAACCAACTTAAAAATTTAATGTTCGTTTCTTAAATTGGTCCAAATCGGGGATCGAACTCCTCATCAAGCGCCCGTAGTACTAATTGCTATGCCGTCGAGGAGCTTGAGCACACACCGTAAACTGCATCCGATCTCGCGCCACAGGCCGAGCTCGTATAGTATATGGTACAGGACTCGTATAGTATATGGGTCATGTGGCCTGAACTAAATAAATAAATAAAATAAATAAGCATACCCCACAATCTGATCCCGACCGCGCGCCGTAGGCCGAGCCTGACCCCATAGTAGGTGGGGTATAAGCCTCGTTTTTTATATTTGTATATGTTAAATTTTATCTCCTCTCCTATTTAAGGTTAAAAAAGTTTTCGACTTATTTCGTTCGTAAAAATGTTAAACCTCTCCCCTGAAAAGTTGTAAATTTGCTATTTCTTTAATTTATTTATATTCATGTTACAAAAACCCATAAATACATACCTTATAGACTAACATACATAATAATATAATAAAACACTATTGACTACTTACTATTTATAATATTATAAAGTCTGCGGATGTTGCGGAGTATATACGGGTGAAAGCCAATGCTACCTTGAGGGTCGTGTAGCTGGGGTCTCGCCACAATGTGAATTTTAATTTATTTGTGGTGAGAGTGCCAACTCAATATCTGTCGAACTTCATGAAGGAGGAGTTTTGGCCGAAGGGTACCAACATTTCCGAGGCCGTTTACTGGAAACCCACGTTACGTCACACGTTGCAGACAATACGTGTAAATAATTAGTGATTAATAATTATTATAATATTTTATATATTGTTATGTATGTTAGTCTATAAGGTGTGTATTTATGGGTAAATGTAACCTGAATATAAATAAATACATAAAAAAGATAAAATAATTTAAAAAAATTCACATACCGATAATATACTAGTAACTTTACATCTGCCAGTTACTGGCATGCAAGTTACATGGTTACATATGCCAATTATATACTTTACAATACCCCAGTGGTCAATCATAATTAATTTCAGTGTGATAAAATACTAGTTCTATGCAAAATATTTGTGACACCAACACATCAGTCAAAAAATACAAGCTTCAGTAAAATACCACCACCACCTAAGTTCACCACAACAGCAAAACATCATCGAGAAGTGATTGTGACGGTCTCATTGTAGCTGCTTGAAGTTACGTAAAGGAAACTACTAAATGCATGATTTTTTTTATACCAAGTGGCGGGACGAACAAGACGTGCGCCTGGTGGTAAGCGACACGTGTGTCCGTAATCAGTGCCACGCAGAGCTTTATTAAATCGCAAAGTCCTGAGGTACACTGCACTGCGCCCGTCACCCTGAAACATACTACAACAAGTTCTATGTGCCTGTAATTTCATCATCATCCATTCATCGTTACCCTTAAAACCGGAACATATAACAAATAATGCTCACATTACTGCTTGGTGGCACAAATAGTTACGGTGGCAGTTCTTCCCTGGACCAACCCACAAGGAGTTCTACTACAATTATCGTGATGTATTGGCACTTTGATCGGCCGCTTGAGGACGAGGTTTGTGAGCGGTTATATTGTAGCTGCAATATTATTGGTAGCCACTACACGTTGGCAGCAGACGTAGAAAACAAAAAAGAACGCACTTGTATACATACATATTAGTGCCTGCCTACACTGTTCTCAGTAATAGAGATTCGAGACTTCGAGCCCAGTCGTCTTTACACCATGAACTTTTTATCTCGCCAAAACCCTGGAGTAGCTTTTTTACAAACGTATTACACATTGTAACTTTTAAGTTTATTGAATGTCACAATGATTGACCACCATGATATTCAATTGTTTTTGTGAAATTACTCCATAAGTTTGTTATAATAATTGTTAATAATAGGGGTTAAAGTATGAAATTGCCGATTTGTACTGAAAAT